CTTATCACTAAATATGATGTAAGTTTTCTTTCATTTTATGTTATTCTGTAGAATTAACGATTCAAGGTGAAGTATTCAACCCTCCAAAAATATATAATTCAAATGTACATTTCTTTTATTAATTATAATTACATTTTTTTTTATATTGAATAATCAATAATAGTGTAAAATAAGCAAATCATGTATTAGTATTGACATTGCGTAAAGTACATCAAACATGTTTTGGTCTTAAAAAGCAAATATTTATTTACTTTGAAATTAAAATTAATTTCATCTTGTTATTATATAAATTTATTTTATATTAAAGTTATAGAATTTTTTTTTATGATACAAGAAAGTTAATTGTAACATATTCAACATTTTTCATCTATAAAAGTATCTTCTTCATATTGAATTCTTAAGTAAAGTGCTATTTATTCATGAAAATATGGGTAAACTGGTAATTTACCCAACACATTTATTACCCAATTAATTCTTACCCATATAAAATTTGGACGGGTTGAATTATTATCCATTATATGTTTACCCATTTTCAACCCGCCCACATTTGACCCAACCCGCCCATTTGCCACTACTATGCATAACTAATACCTGCAAAACTTAACTCTGCATAATTATACCATGCATAGCTAATACCTCCATAATTAAATCATGTATAACTAAACCCTGCATAACTAATATATACATAACTAAACTCTGCATAACAAATCCCTATATAACTAATATTTGCATAATTATAACCAGTAACCAAATGGCCCCTAAGGGTATAACTAATATATGAATAACTAAGTTATTTATGTATTAATTTTATACCATGTTTGATTTGCAAATAGTATAAAAGTTAATTATGTATTAATTATCTTATTTTATACAATGTTATTCATGTATTAGTTTCCAAATGTTATATAAAAGTTATTCATGTGTTATTTTTATGCAATGTTTGGTTGGTGACTTGGTGTGTTTTCAAATACTGTATAAAAGTTATTCATGTATTAATTTTATACATTGGTTTTAATTTTTAGTAACTTTACGTAATTAATACTCTTATAAGTTATGAGAAATCTATGTATAATTTATATGCAGGAAAAAAGGCGGAACAAATTATGGGGGTACTATTTATACATGAATAAATAATGAAGTTACATACCCCTATCAATCTACTTTGAAAATCTTATTGGGAAAATACATAAATTCACCCCTGAAATTATCTCGAAAAGTTAGTAATACGTTTAAACTATTGGAACGACCTATTACACGTCTTTAAAAAAGTGAATTTCATACAATCCTAAAAATAAAATTAACATGCTTGAGTTAAAATAAAGCCAAAAAAAACTCCCCACCCCTTCTCCTTCACGTCACCCATCTTTCTTCTCCTCCATTTTTTCTTTATAACAAATACATTTGTTGCTATGACTAATGGGACAAATAATCTTTTTCATGGTAGTTTTTCGAGAGAAAAAAAATAGAAAACAAGGTTAAGGAATAGGCAAAGATCGGCGAAGTTGTTCAATTAAGAAAAAAATTTGGTGATACACCTAAAATTGATCAACTCTTACCACCCATCCACCCACAAATCAAATTCTCAAGTCGAGTATAGATTATTCTATATATTTTTGTCTTTTTTGTTGATCGTGAGCCTACAAAATTGAATTTTTTCTGATTTTTCTTTTTCTATGTAAAAAGCTTTTAGATTTTGCACAAAATCCAACTTTAAACTGAATACAACGGGTAACATCCAAACAAGGTGTTGATGTATTTTCATACTAGATTTTCTTCAAAATTAGTGATAGTAATTCAAGCACTAGTTTATTAATTGTGTGACTATGATCATTGCAAATAAATATTGATAATTGTTCGCTGGGTTTCTAGAGGTAAATAATGGTTCAGTATGGTCATATTTGGTGGTAGTAATGGTGTTAAATTTCTTTTTATGGTGATACGCTTGATGGTGATCCGAAAACAAGATCAAATTAAATTGGATGAAGTTAAAGGTTGATTTTGCTAATATTTGTATTAATAATGGAGGAAGAAAAAGATGACATCGCCGGTGAATATTTTGGAAACAAAAATGGAGCTTTTTAGGTAAGAATAGAGAGAGAAAATAAAGTCAAAAATGATTGAGAAAAGAAAGAGGATAGATAAATAAATAAATTACACGTGTAAGCATGTAATAACCTAGAAGGCGCGTGTAAATCACGTCGGATTGCACGACTGACTTTGTATATTTGAGGATGATATCAAATTAATTTTTAGTAGTTAAGGTGTGTAATACGTTGCTATGCTAGTTGAAACATGTAGCTAACTTTTTGGACATGTGGGTGAAATTTATGTCTTTTCTCACTTTTTGTTTGTTTGGTTTTTACTTAGAGAGTTGAGCTATCTATAATTAGGGGTGAACATGGTTTGGTATGGTACAATATTTGAAAGTAGCGATATCGTAATTCTGATATTTGATTTTCAAAATATTAGATTGTTACTGTATTAACTTTTAGCTTTTGCACGGTGCATATCAATATGTTAAACCATGAGTTAGCTTAGGGTCACTTGTGACACTAAGAACCCTATGACGCCTATGATTCCAAGAAAGAATTTCTTCCTTCAAACATGAAATTTCTCTATCTAAGGATCAATGTCCTAAGACAGACGAGGAAACAAAGAACATGAAGACAATCCTTATGTATCAATTGTGGGAAACCTCATGTATGTGATGTTGTGCACTAGACTTGATATTTATTTTGTCATAGGCATGACTAAAAAATATCAATTTAATCCTGAATGAGAAAAGTGAACATCACTTAATCATATTATTAAGTACCTGAAAAGGATTAGGGATTTATATGCTAGTCTAACATTCAGATAAGTTGGTGCCCATAAGGTACCCAAACTAAGATATCCAGTATGATATGAACTCTAGAAAGACGACGTTAAGAAATATGTTTACTTTGCGTGGTGGAGCCATCATTTGGAGAAGCATCAAACAAACATGTGTTGTTGATTCTACCACGAAAGCCAAATATGTAATAGATTGCATCAGATAACAATGACATACACAACCGAAGCTTTACCACAAAATGTCTTTTGATAGACATGTTGAAGGAATGGATGTTAGAGTCAGGGGGCGGAGCTACATCTAACAAAGGGTGCGCAAGTGAACACCCTTCGTCGGAAAGTTATACCGTACCTACGAGAAAAATTTACGATATTTTTAATATATATTTAGGTTTGCACACACTTGAGTAATTATAGGAGCTGACTCAATGGTAAAATGAGTGTTGAAAGTGCGAAGCGGAAGGTTGAGGGTTTGATTCTTGGTCCCCTTCAAGTGTTTTTAAACATTTTTATTAGTCAAAATTCACATCAAGGAGTACTTTTTAAAATTATGCACACTCTTTATAAAATGGCTGGCTCCGCCACTGGTTAGAGTTGTAGGTGCATGATTATGAGTGTAAGTGAGAGATTAATTGTTAAAAAATAACATAAATAACATAAACAACAGAAGCATTTCAAAATCATACATCTTACACGAATATAGAAAACAATCACAAATACGTATCACGTACAAAGTATGCTGAAAATTCACTCAAGGATTACCTCTTGACTCGTAGTGCGAATATCTCAAAGCAAATCCGATTTCAGTTTCATGATCTTCTACAGTAGTCCCAAATTAATAATTGAGCTCTCTCAATACTTGAGTGGACAAGTACCGTGTAGAAAACTGGACAATTTTTCAGGTTTGAAGAATTCCTACTTATAGAGATCTCTTCCCATCCAAAATAAAGAACAAAATAGAAATATTTTTTCTTCAAGAAGAGAAACACACCTTTCTTTTCTTTCTTGAAGAAAAAATTGAACCCTACTTTCCTTCTTCTACTAGAAAATAGGATTCTGAGTTCTAGTCAAATATAGACATTGTATAGACTACAAAAATAATTAATGAGGTTTCCTATTATAGAAATAATTTCAAATAATTAACTTGAATTATTCTTACCATAATATATTACAAATCATTAAACTAGAAATTCACAATTGCACTCCTCTATTTATATTTCGAATTTGTCATTAAACACTCATGTAATTCCTAAGTTATGATTACAGATATTAATCAATAAATCAACGTACCAATGAATTCAATTCAGTATTTAATTTCTTTTAGATCACAGCTTAACTTATTTCATGTGCCAGATTTATAAAATTACTGGCCGAATTTACACACGAAAATTTATAAGCTTCTCATAAAAAAAATTATATCATCATTTTCTATATTAAGACATGAATTCCATCAACTAACTAATTATGTCATTATTATCATCCAATCTATCAGACATATTGATCCATCTTAGAGTATCACCTTTTAATAAATCAAAACGATAACTACTATATGCATATCATAATTGTTATATCAAGATTAAGAATATAAGTACATTTAATAGTTTAGAGAATATGTGTTTGTTAGTCAGTTTAATCAATATATACGAAATGCAATAGCGCGAAAAGTTAGAAATATACCATTCCCATAATCAAGATAAATACATTTAATGTCATGCTACAATCATTTTGACGATTTGTCCAAATTTACATCTATGATTGTGAATTTTTGACTTATAAGAACCGATGATTTAATTTTTTGTGTATAATACTAAATTCTATACACTAAATCATGTACTATATATGACAAATTGATCTACTTAATGTAACACTTAATTGAATTGTATAAATAATAAATAATTGTTCAATAAATAATACGATATCAAAACGTATGGTTAATAGTATATCCTAGCACATTTAAGATCATTTTGGCATATTCCACATCTCATTAGTTTAAGACCATGAAATTCAGTATTCTTTTTTATTTTTTTAAACATCAAATCGAGTGAAATTCAGAAAAATAAAATGAAACCAAAAGAGTATAGATTTTTTTTTAAAAAAACATTATTAAACTTCATGTTCCATTAAACTAAGACACACAAACTATAATATAAAGAGTAACAAGTAATGAGAAATGAATAAGGAAGATAAATAAATATGAGTTATTTTTTTGCTGAAAAACGTTGAACAACCCTCATAACAAGGCTATCCCCTTGAAGAATGACTAAAACAGGGGAATTTCCAATCCCTCTAGCCTTAGCCAACATGATTTCTTTTGTAAGAGCCTTGAATTCTTGTCTATCAATAGTTCCACTTTTGTCAATATCAAATCTTTCAATAAGGATGTCATACAAACTTGAAATTTCTTCCTTGCTTTGCAACTCAAATTCAGACGATGAGAATTTACCTTTCCTGTTTTGGAGCTCATCTCGAGACAATTCCCCGTTTCCATCTGTGTCTAGCATATCAAAATGTTTGTCCGTCCACTTGCCAAACGCCTCAGCGTCATCAACGAATTCTTCCATCATTGGACCATCAACAACAACTACACTCATTTTTCGACGATTTCAATTTCAAGTGTTGATTTCTTCTCTCTTTGTTACTATTTCATTTATTCTATAAGAATTTGACTTTGTCATTCTTCCTATTCTTTTGGTTGTGGCTTTTTGTTGGTTGATAGGCCATAACTAAAGGTTTTGCCTTAAATTCTAGTGAGCCATGTGGGACTTTCTTGCCCTATCAATCTTTCATTATTATTATTATAATGGATTTAAGAATTAAAGTAGAATAGTTTCCACTCTATACGGGTCTCCCACTAAGATTTAACATAAAATAAGTGGGTTATTTTTCAACCATGCTTTGATCCAAAAGTCAACTCTTGAAAAATATATTTAATACTAAACTACTAAAACTACCAGCTATGGCAAAATTGTAAAAGTCGAAATTAAAGATGATTTGAATAAGGTTCAACCTCAACACATTCAAGTCTTTACGAGAATCTTCAATTGAGCACAAGTAGAGAGAGTAAAGCAATTCATATGCCACAATCTGAAGGGAGTACCGTACCCAAGTAAACAAAGCTAACTATAACCTAATAAGTCTAAAATGTGCATACAAGAGATGATAGAGAGAATAACGTGACCAGACCCCTATAATCATACACCACGCATTAACAACAAATATCCATTCCCCCGGTGAGATGCCGGTTCATTTGGGGGGCTTCGATCAGCAAATTCATCAAAATTGAGTTTGTCTGAAATCCCCCTTGATTAGCATCAAATCAAAACATAATAATAATGTATAACATGAAGAATTTGAGTCCAATGAGTTGGTAAACTAGTTACTTAGTATGCATTAGTGTGAGTTGAACTGTTGCCATGTTGATGGAGGGAACAATGGTTATCATACCAGCATTACGTTCTGCTTTTGTGATACCAACATTGTACCTCAAAATCATTTATTCCTATTAATATATATTCCAAAATATCCGTTATAATGTTGTATTTTACTTGGAAATACCTTTGTTTTGTTATAATATTTGTTGGGTATGTAGCAAGAATTGATGGGAAATAGAGGGAAGGAGAGTAATTTGAAAAGTTTAGAACTTGAAAGGTTGGGAACTTGAAAAGTCCTCTAATGTTTTAATAAAAAAGGCAATAGTCTTTCATCGGTAATGGAAATGAAAATAGGAGAGTTTAAATAAATAAAAACACTCCTATTAATTATTAAAAGGATTGGAAAGAGAGACCCCCCTCGCACTGTCGTCGCTCGCTTCGGCTTCGACTTTGGCAAATGATCGAGAGATAATTTTTTGGACAAATTTATTTTAATTATTTATTTAATTAATTAAATGGCCAAAAATTATTTTCAATTAATCAGTTGATAACAGAAATTAACCGAATTGTTTTCAACTTTTTAGTTAACCCGACCCGACTCGGATCCGCGCGCGTGACCCGTTTTAAATTCCGTTATATTTAAAAATTCCCGCCACTGTTCTGAAAGGTTGCAACTTTCAGGAACAGTCAATACCATTTGAAAGTTTGCAACCTTTCATTAATGGTTGTGTCAATTCTGAAAGAGTTGCAACCTTTCAGAATATATTATTCTTGCCTATAAATACCATTCAGTCTTCAGAATATTTACTAACGAATTTTCTGATCTTCCTACTTCTTAAAAAACACATTTTTCTTCGTGTACTTTCCTGTTGTGGATTGATTCGCTGACAGTAGAGTTTTTGGTATCTATACTCTACTGATTAAGATCATTTTACCCTGGGAGGTTATATTCCAAATCAAACCTCGGATACTACAGGGGAATAATTTCCTTAAGGGGACACTGTGAATTCAGTGGACTTGATTTTTTTCCTAAATTATCAAAAAGAGTATTCAAGATTCTGGTAAGTTTTACAGATTAAATTATTTTTACAAATAAATTTATGTTCATCTTATTTAGTGGTTCTAAAAATCTCAGTTACTTCGTGTTTCTGAATGATTTATCACAACCAGTAATTTCTGATTTTCTTAACACAGATTGGCAACAATCTTAAGGAAATTATTTAAATCTGTATTTTTGGTGGAGACAAAAATCTTAGTGATTTTATACTCCTTTAAGTCTGCAATTATAATTTATTGCTTACTTATATTGTATCAATTTTGTTTATCAGAAATGGAAAACACTGGTTTTACAGTGGCTGTTGTTGCACCAACCCGAACTTTTGTATCACAAGCAGAGAAACCGGGTAAATTCACAGGTGTGAATTTCAAAGGATGGCAGCAACGAGTATTTTTCTGGCTTACCACACTTGGTCTGCAGAAATTTACAATTGAAGATACTCCAGTACCTGCTGATGATATGTTAGATAGGGAAAAATTTATGATTGTTGAAGCATGGAAACAGTCAGACTTCCTATGTAAAGGTTACATTTTGAGTGCTTTAGAGGATGACTTATATAATGTCTATAGTGCAATAACAACTTCAAAAGAGTTGTGGAATGCACTTGAGAAGAAATATATGACAGAAGATGCATGCTTGAAAAAATTTGTGGTCGCAAAGTTTTTAGACTATAAAATGGTAGATAGTAAAACTGTTGGATCACAAGTGCAGGAACTTCAACTTATTCTCCATGATCTGATTGCTGAAGATATGGTAGTAAATGAATCTTTTCAAGTGGCTGCAATGATCGAGAAGTTGCCTCCTTCGTGGAATGATTTCAAAAATTATTTAAAGCACAAGCGTAAAGAAATGAAGCTTGAAGATCTTGTGATTCGTGTCAAGATTGAGGAAGATAACAGAAATGTCGAAAAGAAGTCGCGTAAGAGTTCAACAATCATTGGAGTTAATATTGTTGAAGAAGCTCCTACCAAAGACAAAAAGAGAAAGAAGTCCAACGGGCAGAAGTCAGAACAGGCCAAGAAGAAATTCAAAGGCAACTGTTATAATTGTGGCAAGGCTGGTCATAGATCTTCTGATTGTCATGCTCCAAGAAAGGACAAAAACAAAGGCAAAGGCAAAAGTCAAGCAAACATCGTGGAAAAGATGGAAGATGCAAATGACTTGTGTGCAATGATATCAGAATGTAACTTAGTTGGAAATCCCAAGGAGTGGTTTCTCGACTCAGGTGCTACTAGACATATTTGCTCTGCAAAAGAAGCCTTTGCAACGTACACTCCTGCTGAGTATGATAAAGATTTATTCATGGGAAATACAGCAACAGCAAGGATTGCAGGAACTAGGAAAGTAATGCTGAAAATGACATCCGACAAAGTGTTGACTTTAAACAATGTTCTGCATGTCCCTACTATTAGGAAGAATTTAGTTTCTGCTGCACTACTCGTTAAGAACGGGTTTAAGTGTGTCCTAGATAAAGCTGTAATAAGTAAGAATGAAATGTTTATAGGAAAGGGCTACCTCAATGAGGGTCTTTTCAAACTAAATGTAATGGTTATTGACAGTATTAATAAAAATTCTGCTTCTGTTTACTTATTAGAGTTAAGTGATTTATGGCATGCCCGTTTGGGACATGTAAATTACAAAGCCTTGCGAAAATTGGTTAATCTAGAAGTATTGCCTGATTTTAAATGCGATAAGTCGAAATGTGAAATTTGTGTGGAAAGTAAGTTTGTTAAACATCCTTACAAGTCTGTTGAAAGAATTCTAAAACTTTAGACTTAATTCACACAGATATATGCGATATGAAGTCAACACCATCTCGTGGTGGAAAAAAGTATTTTATAACTTTTATTGATGACTGCACTCGATTTTGTTATGTATATTTGCTTAATAGTAAGGATGAAGTAATTGATGCATTTAAGCAATACAAAAATGAAGTGGAAAACCAATTGAATCTAAAGATAAAAATGATTCGGAGTGATAGGGGTGGAGAATATGAATCTCCTTTTGCAGAGATATGTTTGGAATATGGTATTATTCATCAAACTACTGCACCTTATACACCACAGTCAAATGGTTTGGCAGAACGGAAGAACAGAATATTAAAGGAAATGATCAATGCCTTAATGATCAATTCTGGTTCACCGCGAAATCTTTGGGGGGAAGCCATCCTTACAGCTAATAAAATACTCAATAGAGCACCCCATCGAAAAACACAATCAATTCCATATGAGTTGTAGAAAGGAAGAAAACCCAACTTGAAATATTTCAAAGTGTGGGGGTGTTTAGCCAAGGTAGAGGTTCCTTTACCTAAGAGAGTTAAAATTGGACCCAAAACAATAGATTGTGTCTTTATTGGGTATTCTGTGAATAGTAAAGTCTGTCGATTTTTGGTTCACAAATTTGATAATCCTGAGATTCATGTTAATACGATAATTGAATCAGATAATGCAGAGTTTTTTGAAAATATTTATCCGTATAAAATTGAAAGTGTGTCAACAAGTGAAAGACCTAAACGACCACGAGAAGAATCAATGGAAAATATTCTAACTAGTGAGGAACCTAGGCGAAGTACTCGACAACGAAAATCTGTTTCTTTCGGACCAGATTTTGTAGCACTATTGCTTGAAAATGAGCCTCAAACATTTAAAGCAGTTATGTCTTCGTCAGAGTCAACTTATTGCAAAGAAGCAGTCAATAGTGAGATTGAATCAATTTTAAGCAATCACACTTAGGAATTGACTGATCTTCCTCCAGGAAATAAACCTTTAGGATCAAAATGGATCTTTAAAAGGAAAATGAAACCTGATGGGACTATTGACAAATATAAGGCTAGACTGGTAGTCAAAGGGTATAAACAAAAGGAAGGTCTGGACTACTTTGACACATACTCTCCAGTAACAAGGATAACATCAATTAGGATGTTAATAGCACTAGCAGCAGTGCATGATCTTAAAATCCATCAAATGGATGTAAAGACAGCCTTCTTAAATGGAGAGTTAGAGGAAGAAATTTACATGGAACAACCTGAAGGGTTTATAGTTCCTGGTAAAGAAAAGAAAGTGTGCAGACTTGTGAAGTCACTTTATGGACTCAAGCAAGCACCCAAACAATGGCATGCTAAATTTGATCAAGTAATGTTGGCAAATGGATTCAAGATTAACGAATGTGATAAATGTGTTTACATTAAAAACGTTATGAATCATGAAGTCATTGTTTGTTTGTATGTTGATGACATGTTAATAATGAGTAAAGAAATTGACGATATAAATGCTACTAAGCGCATGTTGTCCAGCAAGTTCGATATGAAAGACTTAGGAGTTGCTGATTTGATCTTAGGGGTCAGGATTATCAAAACTCCCCAGGGACTAGCACTATCTCAATCTCATTATATTGGAAAAGTATTAGATAAGTTCAATTACTTGAATTTCAATGTAGTCAAAACTCCAATTGATTTAAGTTGTACATTTAAAAAGAATGAAGGTCAAAGTGACTCTCAATTGGAATATGCCAGAGTGTTGGAAAGTTTGATGTATATTATGAATTGCACGCGACCAGATATGGCATGTGCTATTAGTAAACTGAGTCGGTACACTAGTAATCCGAATCAAACTCACTGGATGGCTATGAAACGTGTGTTGGGTTATTTAAAATGGACACAACATTATGCTTTGCATTATAATAAATATCCTGCTGTGATTGAACGATATAGTGATGCAAATTGGATCACCGGGTCAAATGATGTAAAATCCACGAGTGGTTATGTATTTATACTTGGTGGAGGAGTTGTCTCTTGGAAATCTTCCAAACAGACATGTATTTCTCGCTCCACAATGGAATCTGAATTCATTGATTTAGATAAGGCTGGTGAAGTAGCAGAATGACTCCGGAATTTCCTAGAGGATATTCCATTCTGGCCCAAACCTGTTGGACTAATTTGCATACATTGCGATAGTCAAGCAGCAATAGGTAGGGCAGGGAGCGTTATGTACAACGGGAAGTCTCTTCATATACGACGTAGACATAACACCATAAGACAACTGCTCTCTAGTGGAATTATCACAATTGACTATGTAAAGTCAAGCGATAATGTGTCAGATGCACTAACGAAAGGCCTAGTGAGAGAGGCAGTTGAAAGATCATCTAAGGGAATGGGTTTACGGCTTAGGACAAGTCAGCATGACGGTAACTCTATCTAGCGGACTGAAGATCCCAAGAGCTAGATTCAAGGAGAAAAACAAAGTTGTGGCTGACGGTTCGACATTGTCAATTAACTCAATCCATTCTCATGATGAAGACAATGTTCAGGAAAAGGTTAAGACTTTAAGGCTTGTTAATGAGGTAATAAAGCTTAAAGTTTTTTAATGATTTGCTAAGTTTGGTAGATTTGACCAAATAGTGTATCTACGAGATGACACGGTAAGAAATCACCTATGTGAGTGTGAAGTGGAAGCCGCTTCAAAGAGAATTTTATGTCAAAAGTTTATTCTCTATACACTCATGAAACCAGGAGGTATTCATGGCTGAAACGCACACAACCGTAAGAATCATAAACAGTAAAGGGTTAATTGTGTGACATATGGTTGTCTAGGTATACACCAAAGTTCGACGGTTCAAAGATATCACATCTACCGATTGACCGAGTATATCCGACATGTGTTCACTACGGAAAGTCCAAGGGGAAACCTACTTATCCAGATGCAATTAATCCTTGCTTGTAAAGTACACAATTGTCCGTGCATTCCTATGTTATAACTATTCCCCATCAATGTGGGGGATTGTTGGGTATGTAGCAAGAATTGATGGGAAATAGAGGGAAGGAGAGGAATTTGAAAAGTTTAGAACTTGAAAGGTTGGGAACTTGAAAAGTCCTCTAATGTTTTAATAAAAACGGCAATAGTCCCTCATCGGTAATGGAAATGAAAATAGGAGAGTTTAAATAAATAAACACCCCTATTAATTATTAAAAGGGTTGGAAAGAGGGACCCCCCTCGCGCCGTCGTTGTCATCGCTCGCTTCGGTTTCGGCTTTGGCTTTGGCTTTGGCAAATGATCGAGAGATAATTTTTTGGACAAATTTATTTTAATTATTTATTTAATTAATTAAATGGTCAAAAATTATTTTCAATTAATCAGTTGATAACAGAAATTAACCGAAATGTTTTCAACTTTTTAGTTAACCCGACCCGACTCGGATCCGCGCGCGTGACCCGTTTTAAATTCCGTTATATTTAAAAATTCCCGCCACTGTTCTGAAAGGTTGCAACTTTCAGGAACAGTCAATACCATTTGAAAGTTTGCAACCTTTCATTAATGGTTGTGTCAATTCTAAAAGGGTTGCAACCTTTCAGAATATATTATTCTTGCCTATAAATACCATTCAGTCTTCAGAATATTTACTAACGAATTTTCTGATCTTCCTACTTCTTAAAAAACACATTTTTCTTCGTGTACTTTCCTGCTGTGGATTGATTCGCTGACAGTAGAGTTTTTGGTATCTATACTCTACTGATTAAGATCATTTTACCCTGGGAGGTTATGTTCCAAATCAAACCTCGGATACTACAGGGGAATAATTTCCTTAAGGGGACACTGTGAATTCAGTGGACTTGATTTTTTTCCTAAATTATCAAAAAGAGTATTCAAGATTCTGGTAAGTTTTACAGATTAAATTATTTTTACAAATAAATTTCTATTCATCTTATTTAGTGGTTCTAAAAATCTCAGTTACTTCGTGTGTCTGAATGATTTATCACAACCAGTAATTTCTGATTTTCTTAACACAGATTGGCAACAATATTTTGGCATCGTTGTTTCTTTAAGATTGATTTGTTGCCACGTGTGACTTAACAGAATTTTAGAAGTCGTCATACAGATATATATACAGACATGATATTTAGAGTGATGTCTTAAGCATGTTGTAATCAGCAATCGAGAGTCTTTGAGTTTCGAGCATTCAACAAATTACATCAAGAACCTATAATTAGTTTGGTAAATATTATCCTGTTATTGAATGAATTTAATCTCATCTTGATGGAAAAGATATTTTTAAAATCCAAAAGTACTTAGTAATTGATAAAACAAAACAATATTAAGAGAAAAGACAGGCCAAGTTTTTGTTGTTCTTTAATTAGAGAGATCAACTCAAACCCTTCCTAAGCTTAAACTTAGAAAATAGAAAGAAAGTTTCCTTTTAAATTACTCATTTCCCAAAAGAGTTAGGAGGAAAGCCTTGTAATTTCCAGAAGTGTGGTTGGTGATTGCCTGATCAAGAGTGACACTGTTCCTCTTGTAGTAAACTTCTTTAATCTCCTTCAAGTCCTTCTCAGCCCGCGTAACTATCACTCTTGTCACTGATTCTTCATCAGTCCCACACTCGTTCATCGCATAGCGAATTACCTGAACATCAATTTTCATACTATGTTAAGATTAAATTTTGAAGAAATAAATCACTTATTTATTTTTAAAGATATCTGCATAAAAATGGAATAGTGGGCATCCTGTATATAAAGTTAATTTTTGATTCTTGTATAAAACAAATAATCATGTACCTTTTCATAGTATTTTTGGGGGTCACTAATGCATCGGATTGTTGTACGCAGTGCTAGTAGGTATTCTTTATTACCTTCATTTGTATCATCTAACAAGTGCTGAAAAGGAAAAAGAAGTAAGAAACCATAAATATTATAGCCAAATGACGGATGTATGTAAGTACCTTGGTGATTGAAGAGCCATAATGATCCTTGTAGCGATTAAGAGTTGCTACGAGTTGAGTAGTGCTCCTTGTAGAAATGATTCGAACAATTTCTTCATTATTGAAATCTTTGGTACTTATTGCATTGTGAAGAATATCAGCCTCAGAGTTGGCTACTCTTGCATTTAACTCATCACCAACATACCTATATGTGCCAGCTAGCCCAACCAAAAACTGTATATATGTTGCAAAAGGAATTAAACACAAACATCGCGACCAAGCAACAAAAATAAAAGTGGGTAGAAATACAAGGAAAAAAAAAAGAAAGAAAGATGCCTTGCGAAGATGACCAGTAGAATACTGAGCTATGTCCTCTTCTACAGATGTCTTGTAACGAGCTTGATAGGCACGCTTCACAGCCAACAACTCTTCAGGGGAATAGATACATGAGTACTCAATAACCACGCGATAATTTGGGATCGCTCTTTCTTTAATTGCAACATGCAATATTACTGCATCTCTATCTCTTGGATTTAGAATCCATCTGTATACTGCTTTCTGTAAACGACACACTTCAAATTATAATATATACGAATACATGACTATCCCGAGTTCAAATCAAGTAGAAATGTTCTAAATGAAACCTCAAATTGTCCGGATAATTCAGATTCAAGGCGCTTGACAAGATCTTCACAGTATAACTCCTCATAAGCTTGTCTAATTAGTTTCTTTTGAGTTGCATTTCTATGGCCAATTATTGAAATTATAGCCTTCTCATCTGTCCCCCAACCTAAATTTCACTCGATCACAAAAATGTTATATATTAATCAAGTATATAAAATTTCTAAAAAACATAATATTCAATTGCACAATTAAATGAAATCATAAGGAATAGTATTAGACAAGGAAAAAAAACAACTTGATTGAAGAACATTTTGATAAATTTCATATAACTTTAATTTAGAACTACATTATTTTTTAAATTTTGAGTCAAGTCAAACGATAAGTAATAACCTTGACAAGCCTTCCTAATGGCCTCTGCATCAGCAGCAGGAGAAGTGTTTTCAGGGTAAATGATGGTAGACATTGTTATACTCTTTTCTAATTACCTTTCTAATCTCTTATTATTACTATTTATACTACTTAATTCCCTTTGTCAGAGTAATTACTTTTCAAAGTAACGCAATTTCAACATTACCTACTCCAATTAGTTAAACATATTTAACTATGGAATTAATTACTCCATTAATTAAGAGTATTTATGGATACTCCATTAAGGGACAGAGAACTTGAACTGGTTTCACATTTTGTTCTCTTTTTGGAATGAGTAATAAATGTTGTATAGATTGTGAGGTTCATTTCATAGAAAATATAATTTGAATTTGAATTTTGTCTTCCTCTATGCTCTGGATTATGTTTAATAAAAACAAGGGGTAATAAATAGCCACATTGTGTCAAATTAAGAAAGATTAAATTAATTTTTGGGTCAAAGTTCAACTAACTCGAAATAATTTGGGAACTACACATTCATAACAGAGTAAGTGATACACACCGAAATCACCTAATTAGTGGTGGAGTTAGGATTAGTAATAAGGAGTTTAAAATCTAAAAAAGTAAATATGTGAATTATGACTTAATTGAAAGTGTTTCGACATCTATTATATATATATATATATATATATATATATATATATATATATTAATTTTAATCACATATAAATAGTAAAAAAATTTCATCAATGCGAATAAACCCCTGACATACTATTGGTTTCGCCTCTGCTTAAGATATGAAATAAATCTACTTTTACGCTTAGCGATTTCACCCTTCCATCCTATTACAAATTCATCAAGAAGTTAGAACTGACCAAAGTTAAATCTCATTCTCCATTTTCCTAGAAAGCGGGCTTTTGGCTCCTAAATATCTCTTCTATTCATATTTGAGTTTAATAATGTCCACTTTTATTATAGATAAATTTTATTAAATTTTTGTAAATACGTGACTATCATCTATTGATACATTTTAATTTATTTAAGTTAATCAATAAACCCATTATACTCGACTCAAATTAGTTGAACTCAACCAATTAAATGAAATACAATAAAAAGAAAAAAAAAGTGAAATAAGTCTTCCAACAGTTAAAGTCATCTTCCAATCGAATGGTCAGGGGCGGACCCACATGGGGTTGCTCGGGTGCTCGAGCACCCATTAAGCTCATATCGAACTATGTAAATTTACATCAAAATTAAGGTAATACCGTATAAAATAAAAGTCGAGCACCTAATAAATAAATGTATTAGTTGGCATGGTGGTTGGAAGTGGGTTTTCAAGGTCTTATACTACTAAGAAATGCCCATGTTCAATTCCCTCAATTCTTTTCTTTCTACCTTTTCTTTTTCCCCCTTTCACTAATTGTCGTATTTCTAATTTTTCTAAAACAAAATTATTTTTCGAAGATTATTTTTCTTTTTGATTTTTTTTGGCTATTTTATATAAATATAATTATTTTTTCTTTTGACAAGTATTAAATTTATACATTTATATTTATGATAGATAGCTTCAAAAGTAATCTCGATCTTAAAATCTTGAATAGTTTACTTCTCATGTCTATTATGTAACTTAATCTCCAAAAAAATATAAACAGTCAAGATCTTCCGTTACTATTAACTTTTTCTTCTCATCGGTCTAATTAGAAAAAATAAAAGGGAAGGAAAAAAATGTGTTCTAGCGCCTTTATTTCAGTTTTTCAATTTAAAAGCGAAAGAGTCTTCCTTCTGTTGGTTTGTCTTTTTGGTAACTACAATTGTATGTGAAAGTATATTGTTTCCTCCTTTTTTTTGAAACAATTTAAATATTTCGATTGTCTATCGCATTGAAAAAATAACACCGATTTTGATAAATTTTAGCTCGCAGTTACTCTCTTTGGTTGATATAAGTTGAAAATGGTGAGCACCCATAGTTATAAATTTCTGAATCCGCCATGGTAGATAATGATCGGAAGGTTTACAATGATGATGGTGAAGTTTCCGGTTAAGTTGATTTTTTGGTGGGTGTATATGATTTGGGTCGAACATAATTAAGAATGGAAGGTTTGTTAATTAATTTAACTTAAAATTTTGGCAATAGATGTTTGTCACATATTTAAAAGTTTAATTTTAAAAATCTTTTAAATTATTCTCCGTTACAAAAGTGTGTTGAAAATAATTATTCAAAATTTGAGTTAGAAATAAGTTGATTATGATTTGTTATTTAGAAAATTTACTTATTAGATTTTGTTAGTTAGAGTGATTTCTAATCTTAATTTAATTTGATTTTGCTTTTACAAATAGAGATATTACTGTTATTTTTTAGAACATTCACACATACGATAGATAGAACTTAAATTAAGATTCAAGAACCTTTGAGTTTATAAATAAAATATTTTTCTTCAAAGTGGTTAATATTGAATGCAAAGATGGATAACATGAGTATTTTGGAACTGATAGATGGATGAAGGATAATTTTATAGGAGATATAGGAAGGAGTACTAATCCTTATAGGACTAGGATTAGTACACAGTAAATACTAATATTATTTAATACTATTTATTTAATACTATCTGTTATTATCCCCCCCCCCCCCCTCAAGCTGAGCTGAGCGGAAGCGAACGAAAGCTTGGAACTGAGGTAATCGTGCTGTCGGCTCGGGAGAGGCTTGGTGAGAATATCAGCCGGTTGTTCTTCAATGGGTACATACTGCACAGTCATGGTGCCGGCCTGAACTTTATCGCGAACAAAGAGACAATCGGTTTCAACATGCTTCATTCTGGTGTGTAGGACAGAATTCTTGGTCACACAGATGGTTGATTTGTTGTCACAATAGAGAGCAGGAACAGTGTGAGTGGCGAGGAGTTCGCGAAGAATATATGTGACCCACATGGTCTCAACAGCGAGAAGAGCAAGGGCGCGGTATTCAGCTTCAGTCGAGGACCGAGAGACCTTGGGTTGTTTTTTTGTACAACAGGAGATCAGGTTCGGCCCCAAAAAAACAAGAAACCCCGATGTAGATTTTTTGTCATTTTTATCATTCGCCCAATCTGAATCTGAGAACCCCCGAAGTTCCAAGTCCCTGGGTCGAATGAGTAAACCACAACCAAGAAGGCCAAAAATGTACCTGAGAATGCGTTTTAGACAATGGTAATCATGTTCACTTGGTTGATGCATGCGCTGAGCAACTCGGTTGACAGCAAACTGGATGTCAGGACGGGTAATGGCCAGATACTGTAGAGCCCCAATGAGGCTGCGGAAGTGGGTGATATCGGCAAATGGGGTGTCGGCTCCATTCGTAGACAAAGAGACTGCCATCGGTGTTGGTTGACTGGTGCATTTTTCCAGTCCAGCTTTCTGCAACAGATCTCGAGCATATTTTGACTGGTGAAGAAACAAGCCGCTGCCTGTCCGAGAAACCTCCATTCCCAGAAAATAATGTAACGGGCCAAGGTCCTTCATTTTGAAGGTAGTATGAATAGCTCGAGTGACATCCTGAATGAGAGCTGCAGTAGAGCCTGTAATAATGATATCATCTACATAGACAAGAAGAATGACTGTACCGTGTGCTGAATATCGAGTAAACAGACTCGTGTCGTGTACGCAACACGTGAAGCCGAGTTCCTGAAGGAACGTTTTCAGACGTGTGTACCAAGCACGGGGGGCTTGCTTGAGCCCATACAGAGACTTCTGGAGTTTGCAAACATGTTGAGGGAAGCGGGGATCAATATAGCCCGTGGTTGCGTCATGTAGATAGTTTCATCAAGCATGCCATGAAGAAAAGCATTGGAAACATCCAACTGATTGATGAGCCAATTGTTGCGCACGGCGAGTGACAGTACCAGGCGAATGGTTTCCTGCCGAATAACAGGACTGAATGTCTCGGAGTAATCAAGCCCATATTCCTGATTGTAGCCTTTAGCAACCAAACGAGCCTTGTACCTGAAAATACTTCCATCTGCATTGTGTTTAATTTTGTACACCTATTTACAGCCCACTGGGTGCCGCCCATGGGGCTTAGGTACAAGAATCCAAGTTTTCTGATCAGTCAAAGCCTTAAACTCGTCATCCATAGCATGACGTCAATAAGCATTTTTTGAGGCAACAGAGTAGGTTGTTGGTTCACTATCGAGAAGGGGTGTATTTGGTAGTATGGTAGCCTGAAAGATTTTGGGTTTAAAGATACCGTCTTTGCCACGGGTTAACATGGGATGAGTATTGGGGGGTGGCACGGGCAGTGGTGATTCGGGGGTGGCCGGGAAGTACCCAAAACGGATCGGGCTGGAGATGTTGTGGGTATGGGGTGGTTTTGGTTGGTTGTGAGTGTGGGTGGTGATTGCGGGTGTATTGTGGGTGACGGTCGAAGGGGTGATGAGGGGTGGTTGGGTAGTGGATGGAGGTGTGGGGGAAGGTGGTGAGGGACCCTGTGAGTATGTTGGAAAAAGGGGAAGGACGCCAATGAATGATGTATTTGTGGAGGAGGAAATAGACTCGTAGGGAAACTCATTTTCGACAAATTTGACATGACGAGATATGTAGACTTTATGAGTTTGTGGGTCAAGACAGCGATAACCCTTAGCCCAAAAAAATACAAGGACGGGATCGGGGTTGTAATTTGTTAGTAATATGAGGGCGTAGCCAAGGGTAGGCAAGACACCCAAAGACGCGGAGGTTGGTATAATTGGGAAGTTCTTGGTAAAGGAGTTGATAGGGTGATTTGTTGGAGTGTGGCTGGGCATTCTGTTAATGAGGTAGTTTGCGGTGGCTAGAGCTTCTACCCAAAAGGAGACAGGGAGATGAGATTGATGTAGAAGAGTAACCACCGTTTCAATGAGATGGCGATGCTTACGCTCAGCCACCCCATTCTGTTCGAGAGTGTATGGACAGGAGGTTTGATGTATAATTCCCAGGGATTGCAGAAATTGGCCAAAGATGTTATTTACATATTCCTTTCCATTGTCACTTCGAAAAAGTTTAACATGAGAATTGAATTGTGTTTTGACCATTTTTTCAAAAGTGACAAAGGTGGTGTATGCCTGTGATTTGTGTTTTAATGGGTACAAC